GCTTGAATAGTAATTAAAAGATGTAAATTGCGTTTCAAATACATGTGTGTTTCAAAATAACAATTGAAAATTCTTAATTTTTATGAAGGTACTGTTTCAACCGAGGTGTCTGACGAATATCAAGCGAAGATAAATGTATTAAAGTTAAAACACATGATTGGCACGCAGTCTACAATCTGTGACAGCGATGACTCATAATAACATTTCGTGGATCAGGCACAGTTTGGAAGATAAAGGGCGTTTCGATTATAAAAATATGTCCATCGACAGAAAAATATTCGCACATCATATTCCGGATATATAATTTTACATTATTATGTTTTTTCATTTTTTGCTATCCCTTCATGGAAAATGCATTTAGTCGTGCCTCTTTAATACGACTCTTTACTTTTTTTAAAAGCAACGATTTAAATAAATTTTATACTAATTATGCAAATTTACAGTTGCAAAACACTAGAGATAAAAAATATCACCCGTTGTCTCTAAAAAGAAAATAAAAAGAATATTTCTCTGATATTTCGCTTACAGTTGATGCCGAACGAAATAAGTCGCGATTTGTTACGTTCTAAAACTGGTCGCAGGTAGCAGATTGCCACGAGAGTGACTAATTGGCACGCACAGACTGCAATCTGCAGCCTGGTAAGTTTGTGACAAATAGAGGTAGAGGAAAGCGCAACGTTTGTGACATAACGAACCGCTTAAAATGTTTTCTGTCCACATAAGACTTATCGTATCAATTATTCATCGATGTAATAAATACAACGCGCATTTTAGAACATCGGTGATGTTTATGGATGCAGGCATTATTACATTGGCCGTTTCATCAATCATTGCATCTGCAGTGAAGCGTTTCCATTTTTTACACGAATTATCAGATTGCGAGGTAAGAGAGAAACGACATCGGTCAATGTATTTTGTAGATAAAAGAAAATGAAGTAAAGTGGTTAATAATAACAAGATATCTTATTTTAATCAATATTTAACAAAGAAAATATTAATATTTTATGAAAAATCCACGTTAAATTCGTACGAAAATAATATTATTAATTATATAAAATATTTCTACGTATCAATAATTACAATGTTGAACTCTAGATTCAATCGAGTCCTTTTTTCAGATTTTCCAAAAATACAGACTGATTATTATGCGCACCATAACATAGCTCCGACATGATCGATAAAATGATATGCGAGGCGCATTATTTTTCTGCATAGAAAGCATTACTCGCGATATCATCGTGGTTCGAATTCCATGAGATTATGGCGTTAATTAGCAACGATTAATTGTCGACTACCTGCCAGTGATCTCGTGGAATTCGGGGCGTTTGATCTTTTTTAAGGCACGCGCCATTCATCGCAGTCAAGTCTAATGAAGAGTTCGTGTATGCAGACTCATTCGTTTCGGAGTCGGCTAAAAATAGAAGAAAAGTTAGGAGGAGGAGGGGATATTTCAATCCGTGACCGTGTCATCGGTTACTCAGCGTGGAAGAGTTCGAGGATGTGGGCAGCTCCTGCGAACGATTCGTCATTCGAGCAAATCATAAGTGACGATTATCAATCTAGTTTACATTCGCGCGAGCCTCGTTTTAAATAAGAAGGAACGTTCTTTCGACGCGTCGTGCTTAATCAAGATTTGCTTCGCGAGGGTTTCAAACTTTAACCCGATCAGTTTATCAAAAATTGACACGCGACCACTGTCCTTGATTGATTCCTTGTCAAGCGAAGGCCAAGCAGATATCTGGAAACACTGATCGTGACGCGTATAAACCTGTAGCTTCTATATTCGAGAATTTCACGTCGACTGACACGACGTAATCTTCTCTCAAAAACGTAGACCGTAGAAGAAGGAAGGTATCTTCTCTCAGGGAGATTTCCGCCCCGACCAACGAACAAAGGTCGTATCCCATTGTTCTATGATTTACGCCAGTCTCAGCCTCAGGTATCGAACCAGGTTTCTCTAGTGAATTTTGTCCGTACCACATCATCCGACACTTGTCGCCTTTGATAATTAAGCGAACATCCTGATTCACCTTCGTCTCTCCTTCTTTCTCAATATGCCAATAGATCGTCACCCGCTTCTCTTTCTGTATATATATATATATATATGTGTGTGTGTGTGAAGCGAGTTCCTTTTAGAATGGCTTCTAAAGGATGCAACATATAAGAGGGTAGGTAGCCCACATAGATGGTACAGATTAATTCACATAGGTAGAAGCGCTCTTTGTACAGATCAAATCTACCGACGATCAGGACCGTATACATCGATAGTACACTACTCGGAATTTTCGCTATTATCGGAATGTTAATACTTTCTCGGAATAAACTTGATTTTTGAAAGAAAATATATTTCAATTTTTTACAATAGATTACATATACTTTAATATAATTAAAAGTTTTATTTATTTATTTCTATTAAAATACGGATAACGAAATAAATTTTATTTTATTTTCTTAAGTAGAAAAATCGTTACAAAAGATTTACGTTAAAAAAATGTTGAAGATCTTATTATGCATAAGTTATTTATGTATTATAAGTGCGAAACAAACTTTTATTCTAAACGCATCAAAGGGCCCCTGTTAGCGAGGTACGGTCCTAAAAGGCGCCTATTCTCCAACGCGATGCCTCGTCGATGTTCGATGAATTAGGCCATTTGGAGTAAGATTTGGCGACGCGTAGTCGGAACTTCAGGAAAAGCCGAAAAGGGAACGGTTGACTGAATCTCGTAAAATGTAAAATGACGAGACCCTAATGCTCACTTATCGGTTAATCGTCTAGCGCGAGCGAAACGAATTAAAGTAACAACTTGAAAATTAATTGTCGCCTTTCAAAACGACATTTATCATTGACAGATGATCATTTCGGTCAATATATTGTATACAAAATTAATTCGAATCTAGAAAATATCAATATTTAATGTTTCATAAAATTTACATCACATTGTATATTATTTGATAAACATGTTAATTTTTATAATGTGCAATATCTTTGATATAGAGATATTTTTCAATGAGATAGTCGTTATAAGATATTTTTTTCCTCATCAATTTCTAAGCTTCGATTACAAATTTATTTTAACAAATAAGCTTGAAATGAACTGCAAAGCACAATTATATCGCTCTCCTCCCCGACACTTTAGCACTATCATGAGGTACCCTATTAAAGGTAACGCGTTATACAAAACGTTGTACAATGCGAACATTATCGTCGGCTACACGACGGCGGGCGTCATGTCGGATGTTGAAACCTTGTTGAACACGCATTTAATAGTGCAGCGTAAGCAGAGCGCAGGAACGCGCGCTCGGTTGGCAGTCGATTCCTTGCCTCGCTATCGAGGCGAAACGAGCGAGCCATGCGATGACAACGAGGAGACGATCACGCGCGGTCGCGCGCGCGCGTCAGGAATAATCGGCGCGCGGCTCGGGATTGATAATTAATTATCTCGTTGTGTGTTGGGCCACCGGGCGCTCTCGCGACGATCGCCACGCTCCCGTCATCAGTGCCTCGTTCTCCGCCGCGGAGATGAGCTGCATATCGCGAATTCTTTTTCCTCCCCCTCTCGTCCCATCTCCCCTGGCCTGCCCTCTTGTCCCCGTTCACCGCGGGCCGCTCGCATCTTCGTTCATCTCGTGCGGACGACGGACGACGTGAAATCCGTGCGTGTGTCCCGCGAAAAGGTCCTTGAGCGCCTCGTGAATGGTGCAACACATTCGACATTCATTGAAATATATTAAAATAATCGTGCGGTTGTGAGTCACTTAGAAAAACAAACTCTCTCGCGTGGATTACGCAATCGGACGCTCGTCAACGGACGTACGTACGACGAGTGACAGTGCGACGGAATATACGACACGTGTGTCTCCTGCACCGTAATTTATATACCGCCCGGCCGTCACGAACATCCCGGCGGCGAAATGAAAGTAATAAAAAGAGATAAGTAAATATCGCGTCGCGCGCGCGCGCGCTCCCTCCTCCTCTCCCCCGCCGCGTGCTATCGCGCACTTTCGTTTCGCGGATCGTCCGTCTGTCCGTCTGTCTGTCTCGGTTATAAAGTGACCTTTAAGTTTTATATCGTGCGAGTGTGTTGCGTGATGGTTTAAAAATGCGAGTGTGCGATGGCGGATGCCGAGATGCTGAGGAATCGGCAGGAAGAATATTCGCGAGAGATAGCGAGAGGAGGGGTCTCGAGAAACTTTTGACGAGAAATACTCCGAAAATGTAAACGCGGTAAACGGCAACGGTTTGCGTTCGATGCCGCAATTTATACGGAGGATAGCAATAACAAGCGTCTCTCGAAGCCGTTTTATCAAGAAGATAATAGCCTGCCAAAAATATACTGATAACGGAAACTTGAAAAGTACACTAACTCCCAGATTAGAACATCGAGTTGCGCTTTTCGAATTGGTGGCAGATGGTGTTCAACGGCCACGATAAAGAAATTGAGACTATCGAGATTTCGTCGGAATACGAATGTGCACAAAATTGAAGGAACTTTTCGAGCAACGACATACTCGTATAAAGGTGCGCGCGCGCGCGCGCGTTATCTTTATTATCGTAAAATTTCTTTCCTCTCTCGCGTGACAGATGAATAAAATATCTGGAAATGTACATAGATACGGACGAAAATGTTACGAGCGGTACTTCTCCATCCGCGATATCGTTCCTGCGACGCGGGAAACGCACAGGGACCGTCGCCACGTGTCGCTATGAAATCGCCGCAATCTTTTCACCGGCTCGCCTGGGCGATATAAAACGCGTTTCCATATCACTTCACCGTACAAAAGAGAGTACGGGACGTGCGTAAGGTAAGGTAAGAAAAGTGCGTAAGGTAGAAAAGTAGGGTTACCGAGGCGGGGGGATTGCACGCCGTGAGAGAGAGACAAAAGGAGGAGTAGGGAAAAGAGCGCGCCGAGATGGAGGGGCAGCCTCGTGTACCATACGAGTGGAGGGGTGGCGCGAGAGGGGTGGGGGTACACTCTAGGCGAGCGGCGGCGGCGAGGCAGGCGAGCGGCCAGGTAAGCCGACGAGCCGACACTAGTGGGGCTGACTTGCGCGTCTTCGAGCCGTCGGGATACACGACGAGCGGCACTGTTGTTGTATCTTACCGTCGTGCTACGCGTGTTACGTTGTCGGGTCCGTCGCATTGTCGTCGTCGTAGTCGTTCCGTCGTGGTGTCGCTACGTTGAACGATCCGGATGCATCTTTATCCGCCTGTATCTCGCGGCCTCCTCCGTCCCTTCCTCTCTCTGCGCACGACGAAGGGCGCGATCGCTCCTAAGGGTTGATCGCGCGTCGCGCCGACAAGAGCGCGAGTTTCCTTCCCGCGCGTTTTCCAGAGCACCGTGAAGTTGGCTACGTTCGCCGCCATCCCTGCCTCGACGACAGAACGTTGGCGCGCTTCCAAGCGACTTGACGTACCGGCCACGTTGTCGTCGACCGCCGCTGGTCTCGAGAGCACGCTTTCGTTGCCATTGTTCGTTGTTGATCGTTCCCATTATCGGGGTGATGAACGACAAGTTTCGCACGATCAAGCGGACTCGCTTGAATATGCGCGATTGTGTCTCGCGACGTGCAGCTGCCATTGACGCGATTCGCTCGGTTAACAGCACCGGTGCCTGTGTGTAATACAAGCAGTGCCGCAGACGCGATAGTGACGCGACGGTGAACGCCTGGCTTCGGAGCGGCTCGGAATTTACTCCTGGTATCGATATCGAGGCGTAGTAATTTGTGTAACAACTTTGTGCGCGAACAATCGAGCATCGTCGATCGGGCTCGATCGGAAGAATCGCAAAAGTGAAGCGCGAAGTGAGCCACGAGGAGGGCAAAGAGTGACAAAGAGGGACAGCGGCGTCGTTAGATGCGAGGATTTTAAAAGCAGCTCCCGGAGGCCAGCCCGACGCAATGCGTCGACGCTGCTGACGCAAACGCGCCTGGATGCGTCTCACTCTTAGCACGTGAGTGTGATTTTTTTTTTAATATGAGAAAAACATAATAAGACGAACAGAGTTTGCGCGCGATCGCGTTGCTCCATCATCGGATCGTCGACGAGAGGAGGCTTGCGCGCCTCGCGTATATTTCTCTCGATCGAGTCGCGCGCGAATCGATCGAGTTAAGATGATTCCGAGGGGATCGGACGAAAGGACGATCTCGGCATTCCCGCCACACTACACCGACACTTGAGTCATCCTCCCCCTCGTACATCGAGGATCGTACACGCGCGTGCGTCCAGAAAATCCGCGAGAAAAAAGGAAAATTTATTCCTCTTGTGATTCGTGGCGGTGGGCCTGCGTGCTGGTGCTGCGTGCGGTGTTGTTGTTGTTATTATTGTTATCGGTGGTGGTAGTGGTCGCGCAATTGCGTTCGCGACCGCGACGACGACGACGACGACGACGGTGGGTGAATGATCTTGGCTCCGAGCTGACAAAGGTACTCGTACACGAATACTGGGATGACGTCCGCCTCGGATCACGCGGTTCCTTCACGATCTCGTCAATCCACGTCGTCTAACGCGGAACCAAATGTAAGTTGTTTACACGCGCGGGATCGTGATCGATGCGTATCTCGCGGCGGGCTTGTTTATCAAAGTTCACGTGCGCTTTAGCGAATAAACGAGATGAAAAAACGAGAAAACAGCAAAGCTGGCGAATAATTGAATGAAAGGATTTAATAATCGCATTAAATACACGTAGGCACACGCGCGTGTATGTAACATTTGTGCACATATATATGAGTAATGATGTTGATTGAATATTGATGGTAATATATTTATTATTTGCGTATTTATTAAATTATTCTCATACATATAATGTTAATTTAATGTTTATTTTAAACAAGATAACCTTCTCCCTCTTTACGATTCGCAGCTTATCATTTGTGACGTTACATGCACGTGTTCCTCGAGTAAACTCTTTACTGTAATAATCACAATTCGGTGTTAAGATTTCATTTTGATTAAACATATCGATACGCGAGTTTGTTCGAGATCGATTGAAGTCTCTTCGTGATAATAATATTAATGTATGCAAAAAAAAATAATGCAACCACAACAGATTTTTGTTTGGTCGAAAAACGTGCTTGATTTTAAAATAAAAGTTAGATCCGTAAACGCGCGATGAGTCTGAGAAAATAGTCTAAAAAAAACGTGTTCATTTTGAGACACAAATTTTTCGTGGAATTTTTCAACATCAGACGGTAAAGCGATGAGTGGATCCGAAAAATCGTGTCGATTTTAAAGCGCAGTTATGTTCAAATACGGTAAGAGACAAGTCCTACCTCAGACGGGTACAACGCTTGTATAACGGTATCCGTTGCGAGCGCAGTGTATGCTACTGGAATAGTTTAAGGGAGAAGATCGAAGAGTCTCTCTTCTCTTGCAGGCCCTTCTTCCCTGATGTTATACGTAAAATAAAATAAAAATAGCCATTCTTCCGATAATAATCTGCATTGTAATTATCTCAAGATCTCTTGGAATGAGATTACATTTTAATTTGCATGAGATGCTTAAAGGAGAAAAAATGGAGCTTCCATCTCTTTTAAAGTATCACTTTTAATTTATTTGCACCGTTGCTGAATAACGGTCTCAAACAGCGGTACTCAACCACCCCTTCGTTACATTACCAGTAACCCCTGCAGATGAACGTAATCGACAGGACCTTGACACGATTTGCAGTCGGCAAATGAAAAGCCATACCCTTTCGAGCCAACGGTTGTTCACGTCAGGTAGGGAATTTCACGGTGCTGCATACACATTTGCGGCTTGTGTATGCATTGCATTCAGCATCTTTAGTCTTTTGATCGTTACCTCTTTATTCTAACTCTCTTGCATGTGTCATGATATATTTTATTATAATATAATTATAATATATTAGATATTTCTTTATTATGATTCTCGTGTTTATTAATTAATTGTTTTTGTAAAAATTTAATAGTTATTTGAATATGAATTAAAAATATACAGTTAGATAATATTAATCAATTTAAATAATAATTGCTCTATTACTGCTAATATTTTTCGCGCAGCAAAATTTTTCAGCGATTCTCGACTTTTGTTTTAAATCGCGAAAGAGGTATATATATATATATATATATATATTATATATATATATATATATTAATCTAAACATCTCGCATCTTCACCTAAATATACGAATTAAAAAATATCAGCTGGACTTTCGAATCATTAAGTAGGACACTCCGACTTATCAGAGATCTGCGCGAATAGGTTTCGATTTCATAGGCGACACACTGTCGTAACAAATCGCGTTCTGCTCTCGAGATCGAGACTCTGATCAGTCTAGGAAGACGGCGACCAAGATCGTTTGCTTTTATCGAATAAACACTCGACCATTCGGAATTCCGCCACTTTGACGATTATCAGAAGGCGGCAAAGTTGTCAGCGAGAAAAATCAGACCACACGTCACCGATAACGAGGCATATTTTAGATAAGGAAAACGCGTAATTAAAATATTTTTCGGATGAGCTCCGTGTGATTAGACAATGATACTCGATACTCTATTCATTTTTTTTCTTTACTTTCTTTTTTTTTCTCCCTATTTATGCAAATCACTATATTTTATATTTGATCAATCGTTGCAAACCGATGAAATATTTTTCTGTCAATGACAAATTGATATCAATTGATATCAATTTGTCATTGACAGACAAATTTGAAATATAGTGATTTGCATAAATAGATATCAAATGATGTGTCCGAAATATTCTTCTTTGTCTTGTAAAATCATATTGTAAATTTTTTGCGTCATCGTCACGCAGAACCATTATCCGCATTCCGATTTATTCTGCTGCTGATCCTTATAATTACCGGCACTTTTTCGATATTTCATTCGCATGCGGAACGGTTTAACGTATGTAACGCAGGTCATTATTTTGCGCTGTATGGCACTCAATATCTGAATCGCAGGGAATTATCCCCTGCTTCGACCTGAGTGACAGCATTCGTTACGCCGTATGGTCATGCGCCTTGCGATTCTGGGACCTTTCACGACTCGTTGGCTTTTATCGTATTTTCCAATAATGGATGGGCGACTTTTGTCTGCACGCACCTTACATCCATTGAATAGGTACAATGAATTTTAAATAGATAATCATGATTAATCAGGATAATTGAACTCTTTTACTCACATTTATTTGCGATTTTTTTTAAATTAACAGCCTCGATTTTAATCGGCTACTAATTGCTTTTAATTGCCTACTAATAATTAGCATTAAAATTAGACACATATCTTTTTTATGCAAATATAAAGATAGTTAAATAATAGTGGCGTTTTATCACCACGCGAAAATTAATATTAACGTTTTATGAAAAATCTTTCTTCATGGAAGAGCTCATGAAAGTTCGATCTACGATGCGCAAATATTGTAAATTCGCGACGAAGCGTATGCTAACGTGAATAATAAGCGAACATAGGAAAGATTTTAGCGGGGCTAATGACTGTACATAATGCATTTTGGTACGTAGTTCATTCTTAGACCTTGTTAAAGAAATCGATGGATATTTTATGTGCAATCGTTTCCATCATTTCTTTAATAAAATATCTTTAAGGCATATTTTGCGAGATAAGCATCATATATAACATTTCGACAGCGTATATAAAGATGGATTTTTTTCTACACAAGTGTAGATATTGTGAAATATTTATGTTGTACAGAAAAAGCAAAATTACATTTTGATAATTATGTTACAAATAATTTTTAATCGTTTAATAATTTTTTTTGCATGCGCGAAAATTATTACATCTAATTTATTTAACAAAAAAGAAATATTTAAAGAAAAGATTAAAAACGAGAAAATATCTAAAAATAACGAAAAACTTAGCGAAATATATTTTGATTCGTTGAAATTTGCATTTGTAGAGTCCTTGTATTAATGCGGATTGAAGAACAATTGGTAGAATGTAAAAGTAGAATATTATCCATTTCATTATTATTGCGTGTTGATTACAATAATATATCGAATAGCATTTATATAGGCGTGGATACAATTCAGTCAGGAAAAAAAAATCGCGGTAATGATATTATCTATCTTGCATCACAATGTTTGATATCGAATATTATTGCGACAGAGTTTCATCGAACAAATAGATATCTATGGATATTCTTCGAACTTTTTACTCATTTAATATTAAAGTCGAATTCGCAGAATGGATTATTTCCAATCAATGTGCGTTACATTACGTTCACACAATAATTAATACTATAATTGATGATTAATTAATGAGTTAGTGATGACTAATTAAGATCGTAATTGATTAATAATCAATTAATAATCAATTAATATTATACATATTTTATGAATAATTAATTTTTTCATTCTGTCTGGTCTATAAAATCGTTTTTCGAATTTTATGAAATTTACTTATTACAAAACTTTTAACAAAATATCATGTTCGATATTATCGTATCCAAATGAGGAACAAATGTTCTAAAGCGTCTAACATAAGTAGGCTAGTTAACGGCTAAGAGAACGAACGTGATTTTCCTAGCAACCCCTTATCGGTAATTTGGTCAATTACTAGGCACGATAACGTGTTAAGTAAAGGCATTCGTTTACAAGCAGAACTGCCCTGCGATTATGGCAGGTGCAACATACAGTACCTTCGATTCGTCCAACTACTTTAAAGCCATAAATGTGCAAGGATATTTATATTGAGACTTCATATATAGCATGCAATCGTATTGCTTTTAATAAAAAGTATCGTTGTTCCTTCGGAATAACAATGTTTATTGTTATAGTTTTACCTGAAAACTTTTTTTCGATTTTTCCCAAGGCATTTTTTCAATTCGAAGTTTAAAATTGTTACATATTAAATTTTTATTCATATTTAGATCTTTTATGTATCTTATATAAAATGTAAAAATACTTAAATATTTTACTTAAATATTTATATTAGACTTCAGTCCACTTTCTTTTATGTTAATACAATAATTTAACCT